CATTCTCCTAGATCCTTAGTCCTACACTAGCATGCTGTTCTACTGAAACTGAAACTGAACAAATAACTTGTATGGGTAATTTGGGAGTACTTACTTGAGCTCGGCTGACCGCATGCACACACCTCTATCTTGTTAAAAACAATTCTTTCTTTCTAAGTGTTTTCAAAATTCTTTTTGTAAAACATTTTTTTTTTATTTTACTAAAATCTTTTATTTCCCTTAGTTTGAGTTCAGATACACCCGGAAGTGTATCCGAATCCCTCAAACCAGGGCTCTGATACCAACTTGAAACGACCCAAAAATACGACCCAAAAATTTTCGTTTTTCAATATAATCAAAACCGTAATATGAGTATCATAATAGAAAACATACGCGATGTATCCCAAATCATAATAAAATATTGTGCGAAAAACTGTATCATACTACATCAAATCCAAAACACTAAAACCATCCCCAGGATAAAAGCTAAGCTGTGATGTGTGCGATGTTGTCACCCCGAGCTCTTCCCTTTACTTGCAGACGTACCTGAAACCAAAACTAAAACTGTAAGCACGAAGCTTAGTGAGCTCCCCCAAAATACCACATACCATACAATAACATATAAACACATATTGGGCCCCGCCCACTCCATCGGGCCGAAACCCGGAAACTGCATCGGACCGAAGTCCGGAACTGACTGGGACCTTGTCCCCTGCATCGGACCAAAGTCCGGAACTAACTGCATCGGACCGAAGTCCAGAACTAACTGCATCGGACCGAAGTCCGGAACTATCTGGGACCTCGTCCCCTGCATCGGACCGAAGTCCGGAACTAACTGACTGAACATAGCATAGCATATCAACTAGCATGAACACATATACTGCATACTGCATCGGGCCATAGCCCGGAACACATAACATATAACACATAGCACATAAATCATGTCTGAGCCACGAAGGCATCAAACATACCAACTACTACATCGGACCGAAGTCCGAAAACTACTGCTAACTGGACGGGCCGGCATTGTGGCCTTAGACCCGTCCCTACTGGAAGGAAACTCACCTCGTAAGCTGGCTGATGAGTGTGTAGCTCGGGAAGCTAACGGCTGCTGCTCCTGAATCTCCTCGGCTACAAGTCCATAAACACACTCAATCAAATACTAACACTGCACTTGGGGTAAAATGACTCTTTTACCCTTGGTCAAAGCCAACTCTCTTTGGGATGACTCGCCGAGTTGGGCCACCCAACTCGCCGAGTCTTACTCTCACTTCTCAGTTCTACACGCTGCTACTCGTCGAGTGTGGCATCGACTCGACGAGTACCCTCTTGATCCAAGAACTCAGACAATCTTCATCCGACTCGCCGAGCCGTAAGAACAAACTCGACGAGTTGTTCTTGATCCTAAGAAGATTGCCTTGGACTCGCCGAGTTGTATGAACAAACTCGCCGAGTCCCTCCATCACTGAGTCTACTCTCAACTCGCTGAGTCCACTCCCTAATTCACCTCGTCCACTCGACACTGATAAAACTGAAGGACTCGGGAACTCGCGACCCAACTCGTCGAGTCGTTCTTCCCGACTCGCCGAGTTGCCGCCATGCAACTGATTTTTACTCGATTTTGTTTGAATCCAAAACATACAATTGATAGATCTGAGTCCAATAAGCTGATTTACCACGTAAAGTTTCCAACTTTACGTGCACAACCTCATGAATAAGGGAAATAAGGCTAAAAGATGCATAAAATGGGTAGATCTATGGTTAACATGCAATATAACTCCAAAAAGACAGTAGATCTGGGCTCTACAACACCCCAACATTCAGATCCAAAGATATTTCGACTTATTAAGACGTTCATGCAAACATAAGGCTTGGAACAAGCATCAACTAGCTCTTAGGAGAGCTCTAATGGAAGTTTAAAGCATATAACAAGAAGGAACTCCGAAATTACCTCAATTAACTCAGATTTGCCCTTGGATCTTTGCACTACAACACTTCTCCTTGCTTCTTTCTTCTTCTCCTTCTTCACACCTTCACAAAATGGCACCAAAACACTTATAAGCTCTCAAAGGAGGATTAGGGTTCTCTCACTGTGTTCTCAGGGTGAGGGAGGCGAGAATGGGGGCTATAAGGTGGTTTAAATAGTGGGCAACCCGGGGATTTAGGGTTTCACCCAGACGGATGGACTCGCCGAGTCCCCAGCTCACGCGTGCTCACAGACGCGACCCTACTCGGCGAGTCAGGCTATGAACTCGCCAAGTCCCTCTTGTAAAACTCACTATAATTACCAATAAATCAACATACCGGGAACGGGTCGTTACAGTAATGCATGTTATTCTTTCAGAATGTCTTCAAGAACAAATCAAATATTGATCATACTAGAGAAAGACTTAGAATGGAGTTAAAAAAGGTATATTTGCGAAGAATTACCATTGTTTTCCCTGTCATATTGTCATGAAAGTTTTGTGTTAGGAATCTTGATGTTAAATTGCAAATTGTTGGTTTGTTAAGTTTCATCATCTAGAAATATGATTGCAAGTTGAAAGTAACATGCTTTTAATTATTTATAGTGGCAATTAAAGCTATAACTAGCATAATGTATTCAATGTATTCTGTTAGAATGTATTTTATGTATTCTGCCAGAATGTATTATATGGATTCTATCATATTATACATATTCTGCCTTAATATATAAAGTGAGAGGAATTGCAAGTAACGTGCTTTTAACCATTCTTCGTTTTTTTGTAATTGTGATATGAATGGTTGGAATAATGGGTTGAAGACATGAAAGGAATAAGTTGAAGAATGAATAAAAGATTGATCACACTCACAATTTAAGAATGTTGTTATTTTTTAAGAATTGTATTCATTTTTGTTGATATTCTTTTAGGATATGTATAATTATATTGAAATGTATAAGACTATTAGTCTCTTAGAATATGTAAGAATTTGAATTTAAGTTTGAATGTATAAGAATATATTATAATGTTGTTATTCTTCAATCAGGGATTCAAGAATTATGTTATTCTGTAATAATATTCTAATAGAATAAAATTCTGAAAGAACATCATTCTAACAAAAAAAACATTCTGATGGAATAAAATCGGTCATGTTTACAAATTACATTAGAATTAAAATTGAATTAATATAAAAAAAAATCCATATTTTTAAAATTATGAGAATTAATTATAACTAAAATTCCAAAATTTTCCTTTTTTAAATATAGTTAATTGTCCAAAATACCCTTATGCTGAAATTTGTGTGATTATATAGTACATGCTATCCTATTGTAATATCGTAGACTCTCAGATCATGACTATTGATTATATTCCATCCGATGGTCCAGATATATGCATTCTGGTACACAATAGATGTAAGAAACAAAATAACCTATATATATATATATATATATATATATATATATATATATATATATATATATATATATATACATGTATCATCTAGTCATAAGTGTATAGAGAATCCATTGGTTCCATTCTTTGTACATAGGGCCATTTTGGGAAGAGATAAGGCATGCACAACCTTTTGATTATTTTATTCTACATGCATGCTTGTCCTCATAACCCATGCTTAGACTTGCTTTATGTAAGATCCTTTACTAGCTTTTTTCTTAATAAAATGCTAAGGGATTAAGACATGATAGGGGAAATTTTCGAGCGCATCTTGCTCTTTATAGGGCTACTAAATTTTGAAGTTAAAGCTCCTCTTTTCTCCTCCATTATCTTGCATTTTTATGTTAGATTAAGTCCCTTTGTTGCTTTACATTTAAGCATATATTCGGTATATATTTCAATGGCTTATGAACAACAAACACAAGTGTATACTAGCATATCTTGATGGTTCTACTCTTGATTTGGTGAATACTTTTAGAGAGCTCTTGTTTTAGAGTTTCATGTCATCTTCATCAACTTCCAACCTCCCATGAGGATCAAAGTCTTCAAAGGTTGTTATGTTTTCTCTTTTACGGTTGTTTTAATCTTTCTTACTCTTTCAAAATGACCATTGATGGGAATAAAATAAGTATTATTTTTGTTCAAATCTTAAGTCTTCTGTTGCGTGGTTTATGTTTTTGAAACTATTCTTGAATAAAAACCCAACTTGAACATCTTCTCCCCAAAAAATATTAGGAACTTGAGCTGAAAGTAGCAAGGATCTTGCAGTTTCTAGGAGATGTCAATATTTTCTTTCTGCAACACCATTCTATTGAGAGGTGTCTGTACAAGATGACTGATGCACAATGCCATCAGATGCCAATAATTGTTTAAAATCATTAGAGGTAAAATACCTCCCAAATCAGACCAAAGTATTTTATAATAGCAGAGTATTGAGTCTTGACAAGAGCTCTTAAGTCACTATATGTGGTAAAAAAGACAGACATGCGCTTCATAAAATAAATCCACGTACAACGAGTGTAATCTTCAATGAATGAATCATAATAGTTGGCACCCGATTTACATGTGATCGGAGATGGACCCCACACATCAGAATGCACAATATCAAAGGGAGCAACCTAACGAGTGACACTTTTATCAAATGGTAAAGCAAAAAAAATCCCAGTTTACACCCACAACAATCAGAAATAGGACTAATATCACTAAAGTCCCATGTTTTTGGCACTAACTTGGAAAAATCCCTGAATTTAATTTTTCATTTACTGTGACCACGATATTTTCTTGGAATTATCGTTTGAGAGCTTATACCCGGTCACCAACAGGTAACATGTACCATCCGGTCACAACTAAGCTATTACCTATCCATCACCTTTCACGAACCATCATTGCTAAAGGGTTTCATGCATTCGAGAAGGGTTTGACGTTGAGAAGGGTTTCACAGTCCCCAATTTCGCAATTTTGAAGCTCCAAAATCATTGGTGAAGTAAAGTGGAGTAGAAAAGTATGTGTATCGAAACAGAAATTGATGATTCTAAGGGTGGTTATCTTCGTCAATGGAGTTCCAAGTTTGGACTAACAAGTTATTATTATTATTTTTTGATGAAACAGATGGCTTCTACTTCTGGAACTAAGAAGCGTAAAGGGCCTAAGCTCCCTGAAAAGACATACCTTTCAGACTCTGACTCCGATGATGATGTATTTGACTTTAGCTTCTTGGATTTTTCTGAAGAAACTTTCAAAGCACCCTCAAAACTCTGTGATGATCATTTTCTTAACTTATTGTATGAAGAAAACATATTAAGGAGGAGTATTGATGGAACAGTGGACGATGGAGACATTCCTGGTGTCCAACAAAATGAGCATGCCCACTTAGATGAGGACGATGAAGATGTTGGTGTGGAGTATTGGGTGCATGATCCCAATGTTGACTGGAAAGAGATGAGGCCCCGATTAGGAGACTGTTATGAATCCCCTGCTCAACTCAGGTTTGCTTTAACTAACTATGCAATCCATGGAGGGTATCAGCTTTATTTTGAAAAAAAGTGATAGGGTGAGGGTTATAGCTAAGTGTGGTAGTGGATGCAGTGATAATAATAAAAAAATGCAGTGTCCATTTAGGTTTGCAGTTGGATGGAAGTACAATGAAAGGACATATAGGGTAAAGGTGTGTTAATAGATAACAATGGAAGAGTTAGAAACTAGGCGATCAAATAGAGAATATAACTAGGAAAATATATGTGATATGGTGAATACACTATATGGTGATCGTAGAATTGTGGGGAGTGACAGGGAAGGGAGGATCGATAGAATCTGAGATGATGCTTGGTCGACAGACCCTTTTGTTGCCGTAGCGATGGCAAGTCATCAGACGTCGGCGAAGGGTGGAGGACAGTGGCCTAATCGAGGGAAGGCGTGCCATGAGCGGGTTCTCGTTTTAATGATTAAGGAAGAAGAGAAGCGTGGAAGCGATTAGAGCACAAAAGGGGAAATATTGTCTATCTTATCCACTTGACTTAATTTTGTGGATAACTGAATCAGATAGTAATGGAACGAATAAGAGGTATTAAATAGTAGTATCAAATGCTCCCACTCAGACTGCCTGACTCTAATATATGTATGTTATGTTTAGTGTGGATGATGAAACAATATTTTTATCTACAACCCAAATTCTATCTCAAGCTTCTATCATTACCCATTTCATTTTTAATTTGAAAGAAACTATTGTTTTTAAAACTATTCACTAAAAAAATCATGAAATGGTCCTTTTTAACAACACATAATCAACATTATTGAGAATATAAGCAAATGAGTACGTAACCCATGATATTCCATTATTAATCAGTGATATGAATGTTTTGTATGACATAAACTCGTGAATGGAACATGATGGAATAGAAAGAAAAAAAAAGCATGAAGCTCTAGGTGACCACATGTTAATTCATTCATGGCAAGTATTGGCCTGATTCGACCTTGTTTACTCTGATTTGGTTGATGCGATTTTCAGATCACATTTAGCGAATAAAACTTGGCACAATTATTTTCAAGTTTGATGCTCATGAAATGAATTTATATTTGTAAATTATAAGTTAATACAATGATATGGATGTTTAACAAATTGCTTAACTCTCATTTTCCTCTTTTCACTTATAAAGTTTTTGTTATTTATTCTAAGAAATGTCTACTATGCCATCTTAATTATATGCTTGGGAAAGGGAAAGTATTTTAAAATCTAAATTAAATATAACAAACCTTATCAATATAAAATTATACTTAACAACTCAATAGCTAAATTTCTAATATTTTGACTCATTTAATATAGTCTTCAACATCCTACATTGATACGTTGTACTTTATCAGTATTTCAGAAACAGTACACTTACTAACTCATCATCATTTCATTAGGCACACTAACCAAAGACCTTAAAGTACAAACTCCATCACAAAAACCACCTACCCAACATTCAACAAAACAAACACCACAACACTAACAATCAATCAAATCAAATCCAATCCAATCCCACAACATTTCATTCTAAATTTCTAACCTTCTTCCTCGTACTCAACACCATCCTCCTCTTCCTCCTCATACTCACCTTCCTCATCAGCAGTCGCATCCTGATACTGCTGATACTCAGAAACCAAATCATTCATATTACTCTCCGCTTCCGTGAACTCCATCTCATCCATTCCTTCACCCGTATACCAATGCAAAAACGCCTTCCTCCTAAACATAGCAGTAAACTGCTCACTCACACGCCTAAACATCTCCTGAATAGAAGTCGAGTTCCCAATAAAAGTGGAAGCCATTTTAAGACCCGTGGGAGGAATATCACAAACGGTTGACTTCACGTTATTAGGAATCCATTCAACAAAATAAGACGAGTTTTTGTTTTGGACATTGATCATTTGTTCATCCACTTCTTTCGTGCTCATTTTGCCTCGGAACATTGCCGATGCTGTTAGGTATCGTCCGTGGCGAGGGTCCGCCGCACACATCATGTTCTTCGCGTCCCACATTTGTTGTGTGAGTTCCGGGACGGTTAAGGCGCGGTATTGCTGGGACCCGCGGGAGGTCAGAGGGGCAAAACCGACCATGAAAAAGTGGAGGCGCGGGAACGGGATTAGGTTGACCGCCAGTTTACGGAGGTCAGAGTTGAGTTGACCCGGAAACCGGAGGCAGCAGGTGACACCGCTCATGGTGGCTGAGATTAGGTGGTTTAAATCTCCAACTGACAACAAAAACCCACAATCAGTTTATTAAATACAGTATATATATATTTTTTTTTATTTAACCAAAATGGCTAAGGAAAAAGTTTATAGGACCAGAATTGTAAAATCAGATATACTCAGGTACCAAAAAGGTAATTAACTTTAAAACATTTTTAGATGGGAAAATATTTTATTTCTTTTTGGGTTTCGTGTAAAGAGTGTTTAGTAAAATGAAGCAACCCATCACGTGAAAGGCTGAATTTTGACAACTGTTTGGATAAAAAAAAAAGAGACAGAAAGAGAATCTTTGCTTAGGTGGGAATCACATGACTTGACGACTACAACACGAAATGCTTTGACTAACTACAACTACAAATCTGATCAAGAATCAGCCATATAATAAATTTGGTTGTTTTGAAACGTCAAGAAACTCGTACACTTATTAATCATTGGTTGGATTTTTTATTTTTTTTTAATAAATGTTGAATCTTGGGGAGTATATTGGACTTACAGCTGGGTGTAGTGAGCTTCAGTGTGCGGAAACAGATGTCATACAGAGCTTCGTTGTCCAGAACCATGCATTCATCGGCGTTTTCAACCAGTTGATGAACTGATAAAGTCGCATTGTAGGGCTCCACCACTGTGTCGGAGACTTTGGGGGAAGGGAAAACTGAGAAAGTGAGCATCATCCGATCGGGATATTCTTCCCTGATCTTGGATATCAGCAAAGTCCCCATCCCGGAGCCTGTTCCTCCTCCCAATGAATGGCATACCTGAAACCCTGTTACCAATAGAATACATCAAATGCTATAAATCGTCAGTTTATTCCCTAATTTTGGGGGTGGAGGTGGGATACTGTAATTGAATCATGGGAAGAAGTGAGTGGCATTTCTAGTCATACATGTACTACCTTGAGATTATACTAATCATGTTCCCTTTGAGGGATCTAAAATTCTAATGATTTGAAAATGAAAAATTGCATGAACCGATGGAAGATAACTGCAAATGGTCCAATGTATAATTGATGTAAGAAAAGCACAAATCAAATGACGATAATTGCAATGTTATCGCTGATTTATATGCATGTATCGAGAGCACTAGATCTAATTATGGAACCTTAGTTTTCCAGAGAGTAAAATCGTTGCAACGCTAAAATCAAAATGCTAAGATCGTTTCATCATCAAATCGTGCTAAAAGTAAATTCCAAAACTAAACATATCCGTTCGAATCAGGGGGCATGCTTCCGCAACTACATTGATCTATCTCATCGGCGAACATTCAGTAATTGAATTGAATTGCAAATACGAGAGAGATAGAGAGAGAAGTAACCTTGGAGGCAATCGCAGTTTTCGGCTTCTTTGCGAACAACATCAAGAACAGAATCAATAAGTTCTGCCCCTTCTGTATAATGTCCTTTCGCCCAGTTATTACCGGCACCAGACTGTCCAAACACGAAGTTATCAGGGCGGAAGATCTGACCGTAGGGACCAGATCGGACGCTGTCCATGGTACCTGGTTCGAGGTCCATGAGGATGGCGCGTGGAACAAACCTCCCACAACTGGCTTCGTTGTAGTAGACATTAACCCGCTCGAGCTGAAGATCCTGGTCGCCGCTGTAACGTCCGGTGGAGTCGATGCCATGCTCAGCGCAGACGACTTCCCAGAACTTGGCTCCGATCTGGTTGCCGCATTGTCCGCCCTGAATATGGAGGATTTCTCTCATGATTTTGTTGGGGATTTAGATGGAGAGAAAGCGAGCGAGTATCTGTTGTGTGTGTGTGTGTGTGTGTTTTCAGGAGAATTAGGAGGAGGGTTTATATACACGAACGGGGGAAGAATCCTTGTTCGGAGAGGGAGATTTAAAAGCTCTTTGGAATCACATGCTTCAAGAAAACCCGGTTCTGTAACAATACATGGGTAATTTTGTAATTTTGTTGGGTTATTTATTTTTTATTTTTTTTTATTGGGTTACTATACTCGAGCCTTTAGATGAGATGATTTGTTGCGGAAATACAATTCTAATTGGCGAAGAATGTTCACAACAACATCAAGGCCTCTAATTTATCTCATTAGGTAAATTCATTTATTTTGTTTTTATAATCTCTAAAGCTCATACAATATACTTTTTTATTTTTTATTTTCTGCCGAAAAACAAAAGATTAGTACAAGGCAGAATTTTTTTTGAAAAAATTCATAGTTTTCAAGGTAGTTCAAGATTTTCGAACTTGTTCTTGTTTTCAAAAATACAATGCTCGTGATTTTCAAACTAGTTGAAGATTTTTGAGGGTACTAGCAAATAATAACATATTTCTAATTGTGCACATAATAACATATATACGAAGATATAAGGTATTTTACTTTTCAAAGGGTAATTTTCGAAACCATAGATGACATCACCCTTAATAGAGGGGAGCCTTTGTAGTTTGTAATGCATTTGAAAACATTAGTACATCTTCGAAAATCCATATATTTGAAGATCATGGTCAGATTTTGATATTTTAAAAAAAATGGTTAGGATATGAGAAACGTTTTTTTTTTTTTTTGTGTGTGTGTGTGTTAATGTGGTCAATATCTTTTTTTATATAAAAATATATTTTATATGTGTCATAGGTACTCCAGTTGAGTAAAAAGACGTTCTTCAAATGGATTTGACAATTAGATATTACCTTTGAATCGATTAGCATTTAACACGTTTGATACAGCCTCTAACAGTCTTTGAACAATTAAGGAACCATACTTTATATGAACTATTAAGATGTTTGAATCATTCAATAATAAATGATTAATTTTATCAAACAATCACTTATATGTTTTTGTAATACACTTCATCCAACATCCTTTTAGGTAAACTCGATCGATAGAAAATTTTCCTTGAGAAATTGGATGGAACTCTTTTACAGAAACGCAAAAGAAACATTAAATCCAAGTCTTTCATATGTTAAACATGACTTTTGATGTATTAAGACCAAGTAGTTTTATTTGACGAATTAATGGTCTATGAGTAAATGAAGATTAGGTATGGGTGGAAAATGAAGTGGATGATGGACATAGACCATAGTGAGTGTTAAGGCTGCACACACATGTTTTTTGTAATGGTCAAGCTAAGTAGTTGGAGTAAGCGGCAAGTGAACTTTCTATGTGGCTGCATCTGCACGTGTCCTCTTTCTCACAGAGCATCAATTGGGGGCCTATATACAGCAATGATCCATGTGTAAATTGTTCGTTTAAATATATGAAATGACTAATATAGCGTAACATAGAGTAAATGCAAGAAAAAGTTTTAGTTTTCTAGTCACCAAGAAGTCATCATGGCCTCAGATTTTCCTAAAAACAAACAAAAACCATTTTGAAGTTTTTACCTTCTAGTCAGAGCGAATCAGTAGGTGATATCACCTTACCAGTGATTATTTAAATCCGGACAGTGTCATGAGAATGAGAAAAGATAATTGTCAACTTAATAAAATATTCTTTATGTTTGTTATCATCTAATGACTTCAATTTCTTTGAATGATATGATAATCCAAAACTATTTTACCAATGTTTTTAATTGATCAGATATATTATTTAATGAGGTAATTGGCATATCTACAACCAAAAAATAATTAACTTTGAAACTTCATTCAATTTAAGTTATATTTGGCTAGCTAAAAAACTAGCCAGTAAAAAAATAACGTTTACTAAAAATAACTGGTAAACTGACTAGAATATATAAAATAACATATAAAGATATATAGAAAAAATATTTTTCTTATAATTAATAAAAGACAGATCTATAAGTTAATTGAAAAGCTTTCCTTATAAGTTATTTTTTATCTTATCTATCATTACAACTTAAAAAAAACTCAAAAAAATAAATTGGATTATAAGATTGCACGGTGTGGGTGCGATCCAAGACCGCACTTCGTGCCACATAGGACGGGAACACCGCCCTAGACCGCGGTCTGGTGCGGTCTTGGCCGCAGTGTGGTCCTCCAAAGCCGTGTGTTTTGATTGGTTGAAAAAGGATTGATCCGTTGAGCATTTAAACTTTATTTATTTATTTATTTTTATTTTTTTGCTTTTTCTTTCCTATATATATACATACCAATTTAATTTTTTTTTCACAACACAATCTCCTCTCTCTCTCAATTTTTTTTTTTAAATCACCATTCTCTCAAAAAAAATTTACGTAGTTTGCTTTAGTTATTGTATTTATGTTTTTTAAGTTTCTAGGATTATTTAAATGTCATTTGTGTGGGTTTTTTTTTAGTAACGCAATGTACTGTTTTTTTTTTTTAAATTTTTCAAGTAATGAAAAATTATGTTTTTTTAATTAAAATAGAAGTTATATTAAATTAAAATAGTTTAAAAAAAAGGAAGTTTTATTAAATTAAAATACTTTAAAAAAAAATGAAAAGTGTGACAGGAACCACACTTGAGTGGTAAAAAGTGACATGACGCTTATATGGCGGGGAGGGAGTGCGGTTTCGGTGGCACCACTCCCTCCAGCCTAAGATAGTTATGAGTTATTTTTTGTAGTACACCTTTTAATTGGTCATTTTTTTTAACAACAAATGTACAAATGAATGATGAGAAAACAACAATCATGTTTTAAAACCAACCCAACTAATTAATAACATTTTTATGTCTATGATAGTATGATTACATCAAGAAAAGACTAAGTATGTATAATGCAAATTGAAAATCCAATGTTCAAAGACATGTAAAAGCAATATTCTAAAACAAAAATATTATAACAAAATCACATGATGGAGAAAGTAATTTGTTTTCTATGACTTGAAAATATCTAAATCGGTCTACCTGTAAAACCGATCCATGCCCGTCATGAAAACATATATTTAAGAACATAAAAGCGACTTAAGACTCCAAGATCAAACCATGTTAATTGTTAAATTGGATTCTTCGAATCATCTCAATATCTTATTTTTATAGCTAATCAGGAAAGGACGAATAATTTATATTTCTCTCCATATATGAAACTGTATAAGAGAGGTATAGATCAATCGTTAGAAGGTCAAAATTTGTAAATCACATATTCACATATTTCCAAGGTTCCAGAAATAACAAAAATACCAATTCATATTCTTTGGCTACGGTGTTATTTTTTCACAAATCAAATACAAACCTTTGATTATACCCTAAAAAAGGATCTTAAAGACCAATTTGTGTGTTTAAGCACATACCCGTCCCCGTACTTCCTTCTCCTCCAATTCTATCATCTTTTCACTTTTAAATATATTATAGTTAAAAAATAAATATCTTTATTGGTTCTTGTTCGTGGAAACATGGTAATTTTCTTAATTTCTCTCTCTCTCTCTCTCTCTCTCTCTCTATATATATATATATATATATATATATATATATATATATATGTGTGTGTGTGTGTGTGTGTGAGATAAAGAAAGTTTTATGTCTTATGATACATGACACGTAGACCGGACTAACTTAGACCAGACTCTCTTAGGATTATTGGCATGAAAACTTTACGAAGTTTCACTTTTGTATTTAATTGGTCATTTAATTATTTTTACCCTCTAAGGTAATTTAACTTAGATAATATAGTTTTATTAAGTTATTTTGTGAATTTTCAAATGATGTCTCCGTCTAATAAGTTGATGTGGAGTCCACTTAGACTAATAAAAAGCTGACGTGGACTTCATTTCGACTAATAATGTTGATGTGGACTCCATTTAGACTAATAATGTTGTTGCAGACCTCTATTGAGAAAAAAAACTTTCTTCAAGCTAACAAAGATCATGGGATCTCTCCTTGTTGCATCTGATGGAACTCAAAGAAGCTTTGGGGGGGGGGGGGGGGGGTGGATCTGGTGTGATGTAATTTGAACCTATTTTGTATTGAACCATCTCGCGAATTATTTTCTCGTAGAATTGAAGACAAAATGTGTTCAAATACAAATCTTGTATATTGTGGAGCAAAATTTTGTCTCCTGCCGTTTGGTTTATAAACATTGTCATTAAACTCATTTGCGTCTTCATAGGAAAGAACTGGATTGCCGTTTGGTTTATAAACATTGTCATTAAACTCATTTGCGTCTTCATAGGAAAGAACTGGATTGTTGAGTTGTTGGATTGCTTCATCAAGATAAATCAGATTATCAAGGGATTTTGAGATGAAGGAATTTACCCGGATATCGATTAACCATATAGGGTATCCCACATATCATAACCGAGAGCTAATTTGACCATCAAATAGTCAAAAGTAAAAAGGTTAAATGCAAGCATTTTACATTAGAACGCACATATACAACTATACAATTTACAAAAATAAGTATGTGAAGAAAAAATTATTACATTTAATTTCCAAAAGGGTTTAATTGTCTAATTTGCATCACAACTCCATCCCCTTTCACTGAAAAAGCACCGAAGCTATTACAAAATCCTCCCTTTTAATTGATCAAATATATTATTTAATGAGGTAATTGGCATATCTACAACCAAAAAATAATTAACTTTGAAACTTCATTCAATTTAAGTTATATTTGGCTAGCTAAAAAACTAGCCAGTAAAAAAATAATGTTTGCTAAAAATAACTGATAAACTGACTAGAATATATAAAATAACATATAAAGATATATAGAAAAAATATTTTTCTTATAATTAATAAAAGACAGATCTATAAGTTAATTGAAAAGCTTTCCTTATAAGTTATTTTTTATCTTATCTATCATTACAAATTAAAAAAAAAAACTCAAAAAAATAAGTTGGATTATAAGATTGCACGGTGTGGGTGCGATCCAACACCGCACTTCGTGCCACATAGGACGGGAACACCGCCCTAGACCGCGGTCTGGTGCGGTCTTGGCCGCAGTGTGATCCTCCAAAGCCGTGTGTTTTGATTGGTTGAAAAAGGATTGATCCGTTGAGCATTTAAACTTTATTTATTTATTTATTTATTTATTTTTTGCTTTTTCTTTCCTATATATATACATACCAATTTAATTTTTTTTTCACAACACAATCTCCTCTCTCTCTCAATTTTGATTTTTTTTTAAATCACCACTCTCTCAAAAAAAATTTACGTAGTTTGCTTTAGTTATTGTATTTATGTTTTTTAAGTTTCTAGGATTATTTAAATGTCATTTGTGTGGGGTTTTTTTTTAGTAACGCAATGTACTGTTTTTTTTTTTTAATTTTCAAGTAATGAAAAATTATGTTTTTTTAATTAAAATAGAAGTTATATTAAATTAAAATAGTTTAAAAAAAGGAAGTTTTATTAAATTAAAATACTTTAAAAAAAAATGAAAAGTGTGACAGGAACCACACTTGAGTGGTAAAAAGTGACATGACGCTTATATGGCGGGGGAGGGAGTGCGGTTTCGGTGGCACCACTCCCTCCAGCCTAAGATAGTTATGAGTTATTTTTTGTAGTACACCTTTTAATTGGTCATTTTTTTTAACAACAAATGTACAAATGAATGATGAGAAAACAACAATCATGTTTTAAAACCAACCCAACTAATTAATAACATTTTTATGTCTATGATAGTATGATTACATCAAGAAAAGACTAAGTATGTATAATGCAAATTGAAAATTCAATGTTCAAAGACATGTAAAAGCAATATTCTAAAACAAAAATATTATAACAAAATCACATGATGGAGAAATTAATTTGTTTTCTATGACTTGAAAATATCTAAATCGGTCTACCTGCAAAACCGATCCATGCCCGTCATGAAAACATATATTTAAGAACATAAAAGCGACTTAAGACTCCAAGATCAAACCATGTTAATTGTTAAATTGGATTCTTCGAATCATCTCAATATCTTATTTTTATAGCTAATCAGGAAAGGACGAATAATTTATATTTCTCTCCATATATGAAACTGTATAAGAGAGGTATAGATCAATCGTTAGAAGGTCAAAATTTGTAAATCACATATTCACATATTTCCAAGGTTCCAGAAATAACAAAAATACCAATTCATATTCTTTGGCTACGGTGTTATTTTTTCACAAATCAAATACAAACCTTTGATTATACCCTAAAAAAGGATCTTAAAGACCAATTTGTGGGTTTAAGCACATACCCGTCCCCGTACTTCCTTCTCCTCCAATTCTATCATCTTTTCACTTTTAAATATATTATAGTTAAAAAATAAATATCTTTATTGGTTCTTGTTCGTGGAAACATGGTAATTTTCTTAATTTCTCTCTCTCTCTCTCTCTATATATATATATATATATATATATATATATATATATATATATATATATATATATGTGTGTGTGTGTGTGTGTGTGTGTGTGTGTGAGATAAAGAAAGTTTTATGTCTTATGATACATGACACGTAGACCGGACTAACTTAGACCAGACTCTCTTAGGATTATTGGCATGAAAACTTTACGAAGTTTCACTTTTGTATTTAATTGGTCATTTAATTATTTTTACCCTCTAAGGTAATTTAACTTAGATAATATAGTTTTATTAAGTGATTTTGTGAATTTTCAAATGATGTCTCCGTCTAATAAGTTGATGTGGAGTCCACTTAGACTAATAAAAAGCTGACGTGGACTTCATTTCGACTAATAATGTTGATGTGGACTCCATTTAGACTAATAATGTTGTTGCAGACCTCTATTGAGAAAAAAAAACTTTCTTCAAGCTAACAAAGATCATGGGATCTCTCCTTGTTGCATCTGATGGAACTCAAAGAAGCTTTGGGGGGGGGGGGGGGGGGGGATCTGGTGTGATGTAATTTGAACCTATTTTGCATTGAACCATCTCGCGAATTATTTTCTCGTAGAATTGAAGACAAAATGTGTTCAAATACAAATCTTGTATATTGTCGAGCAAAAATTTGTCTCCTGCCGTTTGGTTTATAAACATTGTCATTAAACTCATTTGCGTCTTCAATGGAAAGAACTGGATTGTTGAGTGGTTGGATTGCTTCATCAAGATAAATCAGATTATCAAGGGATTTTGAGATGAAGGAATCTACCCGCATATCGATTAACCATATAGGGTATCCCACATATCATAACCGAGAGCTAATTTGACCATCAAATAGTCAAAAGTATAAAGGTTCAATGCAAGCATTTTACATTAGAACGCACATATACAACTATACAATTTACAAAAATAAGTATGTGAAGAAAAAATTATTACATTTAATTTCCAAAAGGGTTTAATTGTCTAATTTGCATCACAACTCCATCCCCTTTCACTGAAAAAGCACCGAAGCTATTACAAAATCCTCCCTTTTATAGCTCCATTTTTTCCACACAAAGTTCTCACAAAATCAATACTCTAGTTTTCCCGATGATGGAGGTTTTCAGCATGCTCAAGTTTTGGAGGTACACCGAAGGTAGAGATCCAACCGCCATCGGAGACTTTGATTCCAATTTCGACAACGATGAGTTGTTCTTCGATTTGGTGTTCACTAATCCATGTGATGAAACGACAACGATTATGATGCGTCTCCTAATGTCAACCTCTTTGGCGGTGATTCTAAATTGAGTTTCAAATTTTTGTATCCTAATGAGGTTTATTCCAAGAATAGGCGGAAGATTTTGCCTCCCGATTCACTGAAATCTCCTCGAGCGTTGATTCCAGGGGTTCTGAACAACAAATCGAGATTAGACAAGGAAAATTTCAAAATCGAAGAAGTTAAGATTGGATCATTGCTGAAAAGAGATAACAATTTGAGAGATGTGTATAAAACAGGAGAGATAAAGAAGAGGGGACACGGTAGAAAAACTCTACCTATTACCTAGCTTCCAATTCAATTGATAAATCCATGTGGATTTAATAAGGTAGAAGGAATACGTAGGAAAAACCTCCACATTAGTTGGATAACGTTCTAATGTACTCCTAATAATGTTTATTGAACATGATTATGCTAAAGCGGCATCCAATATTGTTATGAATGATGAGTGCAAGCTAAAGTTCTTGGAATTGAAAAGGAGAAACTATCAATTCATAGTTTTCAAGATCAAAGGCAAAACACAAGAAGTTGTTGTGGAGAAACTAGGTCGGCCAAATGAAAATTATAATGATCTTTAGAACAACTTACCTAGTAATGAATGTCAATATGCTATTTATGACTTTGATTTCATCACCAAAGAGAACTATCAAAAGGGAAAATGATTCTTAAGGTAATTGATTGTTGAGTTTGTTTTCATTTTGTCCCTTTTTTTGTACCCAATATACCATCGAACTTGTTTGTGTTCACCATAACCCTTTTGACCGGCTTTTGACCTGTGATAGTCGGTCAAAGGGTTATGGTGAACACAAAAAACAAGTTTGATTGTATATTGGATACAAAAAAGGAAATGGACCAAATGAGAACAAACTTAAAAGTTGGTTACCCTCCCGAGTCATTTTCCTCAATAAGTTAAATGAAATTGAAGCTGCAAAGGTATCAAAGACTGTAACCTTCTTAGGTCATAACGTACATGAAGAGCGTTTCAGAGGGGTAGCTTTGTTAAAACATTGCCTATGTTATGCTTACTGTGGATAGCTGTCAACAACTCTCTGCAAAAAGGATATGATTATGTATGAGAGGTATCTTTATCATCATAAACGTTTATCTTAAGGTATATTATGGTGATGTGTCTGCAAAAGCTACATGATCTTGAGCATGTTGATGTTGTATCTTATCTCTTGAATTCGATCTTAAAGCCAAGTAAACTCAAAAATCACAACTCTTGATTCTACTAATTTGTAGACTTGTCCAGAATCCATGATACGATAAATTATTTGATTGCATGGAAATGTAAATTTAGTCATGAGATGCACATGCTTAATCAAGATTTCCCCTAATAAATATTCAAGTGCATTACAAAGTTGTACATGTATAAATAATGTTCTTTCATGTGTTATGTTTTAAAGAGAAGCAAGAATGAATCTTATAAGGTCTTTAATATGAGCTGGAGATGACGTCAGATTTTCTGTAAATGAGTAAAGGAAAAATGACTCATGAGGGTAACCAACTCTTGAGTTTGCTCTCATTTGGTCCCTTTCCTATTTTTTGTACCCAATATACCATCGAACTTGTTGTTTATGTTCACCATAACCCTTTGACCGGCTATCACGGGTCAAAAGTCAGTAAAAAGGTTATGGTGAACACAAACAACAAGTTCGATGGTATATTGAGTACAAAAAAAAAAAAAAGGAAATGGAGCAAATGAAAACAAACTCAACAGTTAGTTACCCTCCAGCAAAATTTTCTTTTTTGCATGGAAAGAACCGAATACACATTTTAAATACTCTTTTTAACTACCACTAGCATATTATGTAGGTACAAATTCATCAATATCCTTGTAAACTTTCATAACTACATATATATTATTGTAAAACTTCAAATTACATGTATACCCTTATAAAAACTATAAATTCATGTATATACCCAAGTATTTAATTTAATCATAATTAATATATTTAAAAGTTTAAAATTATCTTTAAACTAGATTATAACTAAATTACTAAAATACTCATTTACAATCCCTCCCATAATCGATCTCCTTTTCAGGACCTGATTCTTTTCCTCTTCAAATTTTGCATAATCGAATCACAAAACTTGGTGATTACATATTATTAATCAATTGTTAAAAATTATATCTAATCTCTTACAATTGATTTAGGAGAACTGAGAGTATTCTCTTCAAAATGATTTTATTCTTCTTATGGTTCTTCGGTTACATATAATGTAACACTCAGAAAATCATAAAAATTTAAAATTTTTAAAACACTACTAGAAAAACAGCCTTTTAGGACGCTCATTGCGCGTCGTAAAAGGCTCAGACGACGCGCAAATGCGCGTCAAGGAAGGCCCTGTCATAAAGAGAGACGACGCGCTTTTACGACGCTCATTTACGACGCGCAATTACGACGCGCGTTTACGACACGCAATGCGTATCAAGGAAGGCCGTGTCATAAAGGAAGACGACACGCGTTCGCGTGTCATAACCTTACGACGCGCGTGTTAATGACACGCAATGCGTATCAAGAAAGCCCCTGTCAAGAAAGGTCATGTCATAAATGAAGATGACACACATTTTTGCGTATCGTAAATTTAAATGTTTAAAAAAATAAATTTATATATTTATTAATTTTTAAATTAAATTTGCATTTAATTTCTCATAATAGAAATAAAACACCATATACAAAAAATACAATCCATTGCACAAAAATTAATGTCATACAAGATACAAAATAAAATACAATAAATAAGTAAGATAATTCATTGCATCAAATGTCAAATACAAGTAATCATCGGTAACTATATAACCTAATACTACATTGCTATTAAGGGACATCATCATAACTCACTGAAGGTCTTGGAACAATGTTCTCATCATCAACTCTTACACCAACCTTGCTTTAGTAGATGACTTTCACACAATCAATATTGAAATAGATGCTGCCCGGGCCACCATAGATGATGCCCGAACATTCCGAGTTCAAACTTCCACTGTTTGCTTCATCTCTGCTAACCTCTTTCTGCTTCAAGAACACAAAAGAAAATGAAACCATGAAAATATCACATGAAATTTAATACCCTCATAAAATGATATTAGGATTAAGGGAGTTGAAGGTACTTGTATTCTTTGAGGAAACAACTATCATCAAGATCATCTTCTAAATCTTTGAGTTCTTCTGTCTTTTTATCGATCCGAGATTTGGTTTTAGGTTTGGAATCTTCATCTTCTGCAGGAGTGAAGGGATCAGGTTTGAAGGCAGAGGGTTTAGGAGGTAAGTTCCTGAGTTTTCTTTGAATATCATCCCATTGAGTTGATACTCCTTCAACATCTTTGTAGACAAAGTGAAGATCAGCTTTATCACTTGGCTCCCAAGATCTCTACATGCATAAGGAATAATGGGTATTAAGACTTAAGAGATTACATGATAAAAGTTATAGAATCTGAATTACAATATAGATCATACCTTCATATATCTTTCCTGCCCATCAAAAGCCATTTGTAGTTTCAGCTGACTTCTGGTAGATGCTAGGATTTAAAAAAAAAAGCAATTAAGTTAGCTTTATCAAATTTAATACATGAATTTGGTAACTTTTTAAGGAAATTGATAAAATAGTAAGAACATGTGTCTCCAAAGAGCCAAAACCTCCTTCAGAACCAAGAATGTTGATTAGCTCTTCAAATCCTCCCATGATTGACTCAACGAGCGACTCAACATATAAAACTGCATCTCGACCAATTCTAGTTAACTGCATCAACCAATCAATATTCAGTAAATTTCCCTTCAAAATATAAAATAAAATTTACATATAAAATTTAGAGTAAGTTACACTTTCGGCCCCTGTTCCAAGTAAAGTTGGGAACAAGAACCAAAAATGTTACAAGCCTTCATTTCCAGTAGACCATTCCCTTCAGATAACAAGCCTTCTTTTCCAGTAGACACTGTTGCTTTCTCCAAATGTCTTATGTTAATTGAAGATCGTGCAGAAGTAACAATCATTAAAATTGATAACCAATCTTTACATAATTCCTGTTTATGTAATTTTTTTATACATTATATACATGAGTATAAATATAAATAAATAAAACAAAACCATGTCACATATTTGAATGGATTAAAATTAAAGATTATACTTACTGATAAATCACATGTAATTGTAGAGATATTTCCACCCTGTGGTTTTGGAATATTTTCAAGATGGTCAATTTTTTTTTGGAAAAGCCCTATTAGAGTGGTGTCCAGGTCAAGAGCATGATATTAACTGCATTGTCAACTGTCATTCCAGGTATAACCTTCATCAACACTTGCACAACATATTCCCTCTTGTTGTAGTTGTCATTGTGTAGCATCACTCTATATGGTGGTGCCATTTTCCTTGATTTCCTAAAAAAACAAAAAAAAAAAGGTAAATCGACCTAATCTTTTACTATATGAATTTCAAACTTCATTGAAAGTGATACAATACCTCAAGTCAAACTCAGACTCTCTTCCAGGAGTTGTTTTCTCTATTACTGGCTTATCTAACACCCCGACACCGTTTTCCAGCCTTAGAGGCGCCATTGTCATAACTGTGATCCATTTTGTGCTTTGTTTATGAAGCAGGTATTTGTCCCCTGTGTATGGTAGAGTAATCCGTTTATGACAATTATTTCTTAGAGCAAAGTAACAATTCTGATAAACAATAAATAAAAAAACATCACAAAGTAAAACATCCAACCTTCTTATTTTGATACTTAGTAAGTTGCAATGATTAAATTTTCAAACTTACATGGTATCAAGGATGTCATTCATAGGATTTAAACAATCATGGTTCCCAAGATTGGAATTCACACTGGTATCACACTTAGATTCTATAGCCTCAGTTTGACCACTGTCAGAATTATTGACCAACAGATCAGAAGTAGGACAGGATTCTGCTGATATCTGCAAGAAAAAAAGTTAAAGTTATTGTTAGATTCTCAAAGCCACCAATCTATAATCATCAATATACAATCACAAAGTTGATTATGTGACAACCTTTTCCATAGAATCAGGAGAAGACTGCCCCTGCTTATCTACAATGAAAGATTTATAATTTGGCTACCCTTAAAATCCTTTCCCTTCTCCACTTTTTCCTCTTTTTTCCTAGAATCCACACTCTCTTTCCCATTATGCCCCTGCTTATCTACAATGAAAGATTTATTATTTGCAGCAACAAACTCGTGTTTCTTTTGATGATTCTAATGGCTAACACTCCCCCTATTCCAATTCCCCTTATTACTTATGTTATTCCAACCTTTATTACCCTTATTAA